GCCCCGTGGAGGCTGTTTTAGTTGGGCTCCACTCGGCGTTGTGTTAAACCGCTGCTGCTAGCTGGAGAATTTCATGAATGCTGCGTTGGGCAGCATTTCAGCGGCCAAGCGGCTTCTGGCAGCCTGTGCCCACAAAGAGCAGGATGCGCCTGGGGAGGCGGCCGCGCTGCAAGGAGGGAGCTGCATCCCGGCACTGGGCATGGCCTGGCCCGTGGTGTTGGGAGCCACTGGCCCCGGGGAGCGCAGCACGGGGAAGTGCTCGCCAGGTGCCCGTCTGGCTTTGCCGGGCGCTGCGCTGGGTTCCCTGCTCCGCTGCGGGGCTGCATGTGGAACAGGCCGCTCCGCTGCTGCAGGGCGGCTGCTGCTGCAATCTGGGCACACCGCATAGGGCTGTGCGCGCGTATCCCCATGAATTTGCAGGAATTCTGACTCTAAGCTTTCATATCAGTTTTGTTCCTGTTGTTTTTCTGATAATCTTTTCTGTGGTTATTTTGGAGTGGAAAAGACTTTAACATTGCCTGTGAGAGTCTGTGAGCAACACAGTTTTTCTCAAGGAAAGGTACATATGGAGATCCGGATGAAAGCAGGAGCTTGAGGCGCTCTGGTAGCTCGTGTGTCGCTTTCTGCAGTTTTCCTGTTCCCCTGCTTGTTTCAGGCCAGGTTTCCAGAGGTTTTGGCCTCCAGGTAGCGCATGGGAAGAACGAGCATTCCTCGTGTCAGCAGGGCCCAGCAGGGTCCAGCGCAGCGGGATAACCGTGCGGGGACAGGATAAGGTACGGGGAGTGCTTGGGAGGAAAACCGGACTGATTCTCTCTGTGCTCTCCCTGGAGCAGCGCGCTGGGCCAGGGCAGGGCAGCCCCTCGGCACCGCGCCGGCCCCATGCCTCCGTGGCCACGTGTTTCCATGCGCTCTGCGCTGCCAGCCCTGCTCTGCTCCACGGCGCCCATGGAGCGCTCGGTACGGAGCCCGCAGCGCCCTTGGGCGGCGCGTGCCGGGGGAGCCTTGGGAACGGCCCTTCTCAGGCTCTTGCTCTAAAAATATCTCCTGGATGTGCATTCCGCTTCCCCTGGCGTGCTGGCGCTTTGGAGCAGTTGAGCTGTAAATGCCAAGCAAAACAAATAGCTGTCTGGTTCCTTCACCCGTCCTGCTGTGCGTGGAGAGCTGCTCTAGTGCAGCCGTCTGCACCAGCTGAGGTACCGAGACTGGCCCCGCGCTCCTCCCGGCCGCCCCTGCTCCTGCTCCGGGGCTGCCTGCCGGTGCCAGGGCTCTGCAGAGCGCTTGCTTAATCATGCTGCAGAGGCGCCGCCGTGCCCAGTGCTGTGGGGAAGCATGCTCCCAGCAGGGCCCTGCGCTGCCTCCTGGCCAGGACGCCTGCGCTGAGGGGAAGCAGAGCATTCCTGTGCTAACATTATAGACCCCGGGAAAATAACTGTAGAGGCTCAGATTGGCTCGGCTGGCCAAATCCCACTGGGACTTCTGATGTGCAAATGAGGCCGGTTCCCACTGCTGAAGCACTTAACAGATAGATAAGGGGTCGCAGAAGGGGCCTGGCTGGGAGCCGCCTTCCAGGAGCTCCCTGAGCGCCTCCAGGCTGGAGATCCCACCTGATAACATCAGCGGCTGGAAATGAGAAGCATTTGCACCTCCTGAGGTCCTTGCATATGTGAAAACACAGAAGGCGCTCCGGCTGCATCCTGCCTAATTTATATGTCTGTCGGATCCATCGCCGCTGCCTTTGGGGTGGGCTTGCCGGAGCCAGGGAGGGGGCATCTCCAGACCCTGCTCGTGGTGCATGATCAGACCCTGGCTGTTAGATGGAAAACGAGACCTGAAGCTGTCACAAGCCCCACCCCGGACTAAGCAGCATTCTTTCTTTCTTTTTTTTTTTTTTTTTTTTTTTTTTTTTTAATTGAATTACTGTAGCCTTTTTAGAGACTAGCTGGTAGTTTTCCTGTGACTAGAGCTACAGGCTGTTTTTCAGGCCCGTTTGTCTCCTTGGCTGTCCTGTTTCACAAATGCTGCTGGATGGTCTGGGAAGCTTTTGACAGGCTGTTGGAAATGCTTGGCGTGGGTGCGAAGTGGGTAGGAGCCTGGGCCTGCAGAGCAGGGGAGCTGGCGCCGCGGCCACGGCTGGGCAGCGCCCTGGGCATGGGGCAGCCCCGGTCACCAGGGGCGGTGCCTGTGCCTGCGCCGCGCGGGACGCTGCCGGTGCCTCTCTTGTGGCCACGGCCCCAGCACAAATGAACTTGCTAGAAGTTAATGGAAATTGTCTTTACTCTGGACGCCTGGAGTGGCCGTAGCAGAGTGAGTGGCATCCGAGGTTGTCTATAATCCCGCTGAATTTATTTTAAGAGACAGGGAAAACGTCCAAGGAAGTTTCCACTGCGCAGCTGCAGACAGCAGAGCTGCTGCCGGTCGCAGAGTGCAGCATTCCCTTCTACAGGAGCCGCCTAATGCCCAGGTGGCAGTAAAACACATGCGGTGTGATAAATGCTGTCTGTGTGTAACGCTCAGGGCACTGCCGAGCTTCTGAACTGCGTGGGAAGCAGCAGCAATTCACGTACATGTAACCCCGGCGGGCACGTGCAGCCCGGGCTCCCAGGAGTGCTCGACTGCTCGCTTGCGCCTCGCTCTTGGCTGCCGCAGCCCAGCGGTGCCCGTGGGGCTTTGCCCGCGCGGAGCTGCGGCCCCGGCGTCAGGGTGCTCTCTCTCGGGGAAGCCCTGGTGGCGGAGCAGAGCCAGCTGCTCCGCTGAGCGCGGGCTGCGCTTGTCCTCGGTCGCTCCTGCTGCGCGCACTTGCCCTGTGGAGATGCACGCGTGGCGTCGAGGCGGGCAGCCTCGTGCTGCTCTCACCGTGCACCGCTATCCAGCTGCGCTGGAACACATGCGGAGATCCCAGGGAAAGCACCAGTGGGAAGACGCGTGCTGTGGAGGGGGAAGGGTCCGGGGTGACCTGCTGGGAGCTCTTGGAGCTATTCGGCATGTGTGGGTTGGAGCAGGAGCGGCCGATCCTCCCGTGGCCATGCGTGTCGTGCCGCGTGGCCTCGGCAGCGCCGCTGTTGGCTGCCTGGCCTTGGCCTTGGCAGGCGTCATGGCTCTGCGGGAAGCGCTTGGCTGCGCTGGTTCAGCAGACCTGCCTGGGGTTCCCTTCAGCCCGTGCCTGGGAGCTGCCGCCGCTGCGGTGACCGCCAGGCAGCCCAGCCTTCCCTGCCTGCCACTGCGGGACAGAAGCGAAAGCAGCTGCCGCCCTCCTTGCTGCCCAGGAGGGGCCTCGCGGCCAAACGTGTCCCCTGCGCCAGGGGCAGAGCCGTACGGACCAGGCTGGGCCAGGCAGCCACATGGCCAGTGCCGCCGACAGCTCCCAAGCCCCTCGCGCAGGGCAGGGATCGCCCTGGGGACAGAGCTATGGGGCTGCAGGCAAAGCTGTGCGGGAGCTCCCTGCGCGCGGCCGCTCTGTCGGGGCGCCGAGGCCGGGGAAGCGCCACGGGCTGCTTATGGCCACATGGCCCTCGCCCCCACGCAGCGGCGGGAGCCCCTTGGGAGGCCTGCGCTGGGGTGGTGGCAGCGCCTCGCGTCGCTCCTCGAGGTTTATTTCTGTCCAGTGACTCAAGGGGCTGCGTCGCCCGGGCACGCGGAGTGGAATGGCACCTGGCGAGGGCCTCGGCCGCGTGCCGAGGGCACCTGTGTGCTGCGGCGGCCGAGCGCCGTGCGGTGCCAGCGGTGCTTCCCCCCTGCCCCCTGTGCGCAGCGGGGCCTGGGTCCCGCACAGCCAGCATGGGTGTGTTGCGGCCCTCGGCTCTGCTCTCGTGTGCAGGGTGGCCCCGCAGCTCCCGGCCAGGGAGGGCCTGCAGCAGCATCGCCTTCAACTCCGTGCCCTGCGGCCTCCAGCGCCCCCAGCGGCCTCCCCTCTGCGTCCACCCCACGGTGGCAGCAGCAGGAGCCTCCCGCGCGGCAGCCGGCTGGAGCGCGTGCGCGGGCGGCCGCGCCGGCAGGGACGGCTGCTTGCTCACAGGGCTAGGCGCAGCACCAGCGCGGCCGGGAGCCCCGGCGGCCATGGAGTGGCTCCCCTGAGCGCACGGCCGGCATTGTGGGCGCGGCGCCTCGCTTCCCCCGTCAGTGGGAGCTGGAGTCTTCTCGTGCTGTCCCCCGTGTGCATGTAGCAGTTGCTGCGGCTTTGGGCATGCTGTCCAAGGAAGGCTGCGGGCTTTCGCACCCCATGCCCTGCTGAGTGGCAAGGCGCTGGCCCTGGCCAATGTCCGTCGCCTGGCTGCCATCCTGGGCCCGCCTAGGCCGCCTCCATCGGCAGACACGGAGCGCCAAGATGCGCTGAGTTCGTGTGTTGCGTGAGTGCCAGTGACTGGCTGAGCCCTCCTGGTTCCCGTGCTGTTGTCGGCTTCCCGCGCCCTTAGTGTCTCCCCTCCAGGCGTCTCCAGTGCCCGGTTCGTGCTCCTCTCCCGCCTTCCTGCAGTGGCACCGCTGGAGCTGTGGGGAGGCTCGCGGGGCAGCCGGGGAACACCAGTGAGCGTGGTGCTTGGTGCAGTGAGATGTGGCGGTGTTGCGGGATGGTGACGCGAACCGGAGCCTCCCATGCACCCCGACCTGCCGGCGAGCCCAAGGAGCAGGGCACGGCCATGGGGCACGGCCGCAGGCGGCCTGGCTCAGCCCTCCTCTGGCTCCGCTCCCTTCTCTTGACCGCTTCATGGGTACGTGGTATCCAGCTTCATTTCAGCGGCTTTCCAACATAACAGTTGGGAGCTGGATGCTCCCGTGCGGCGGTGCCCATACAGCTTTTCATAATTGTTGACTTGTTTTGGAAAGAAGGGACAATAAAAATGAGCCCCCTGAAAGCCATGTGCTATGGGTCACGTGCACACGTGGCAAGGCCTTGGCAAACCCTGCTGGCTCCTGGGTGGCGCTGCGTGGCAAGGGCCGCGTGTCTGGGCGCGTGGTGACGGTGAGGGCTCGCGGTGCTCACATGTCTCTCTCCTCGCAGCTCCACGATGCTGGACGGCCTCCTGCTGCTGCCGGCGCTGATGGTGATGGCCATGCCCTCCCGCAGCCTGCAAGGTGAGTGCTCTCACCCGGAGCTCGCCCTCGGCCCGCCACAACGGGTGAGCCCGTGCCAGGGTGAGCACGCGGCACGCGTGGCAGCTGGTGCTCCAAAGGGAGCTCTGCACTCATGGGGTCCACTCGCTTGCACCTGCGTTTCGAGGGCCTTGAGGTGCATCTGGTGTTTAGGGCAAGCCCCTCGTCTTCCTCAGCTGCCTGGGTAGGGTCCTCTGAAACGCTCTGTGGCTACGCGCTGGTTTTGGAGCTGATACAAACAGTAGAAGGCAGGATAGTCAAGCACCAAGGAAGGGGAAGCTGAAAGGTGAAAAATGCACATGTGATTTCATGTTGTTCATACCTGTGAACAGGAAATTCAAAGGAAAAGAAAAGGAGCCTGTGACAGATGTTTAATAAAAATAACTATCTTGAGCAGAATAGGGAGGTTGCTGGCTGCCACTGCTGCAACTTTTTGTTGCAGCTGTACTGCAGCTATTTGCTTCTCAAAAATATTTTGTCAGACTCTCAGAGCTGCTTTTATTAAAAATCTCAAAGATGAAACCATCTGCCTTTCGCATCCTTGATGGGAAGAGCTGTCAATAGATAAGAGAAACGCACAGGAAACATGGGTGTTGACTTGTAACTCTTTTGTTAATTGCCCTTGGCTGACGTGCGTGACGCCGCAGGCGCGCAGTGGGAGCGCGGGACAGCCCTGCGGGGAGCGCTGCCTTCGGGCAGTGCCCTGCGGGCCCCGCGGCCGGCCTGGGGCTGCTCGAGCCGGCAAACAGCTCTGACAAACGCGGCTGAGCGGCTGCGCTGCCCGCCCGGCCGCGTCCTCGTGGGGCCGCTGCGCCGAGCCTTTGGAAACGCTGTGCTGAGCCTCTGCCTTTGGAAACGGCCTCTCCGGCCACACGGCCGCCCTTCGAGGGACGGGGGGAAAGTGCCCATGCATTCATAGCAAGGAACTACCAAAGGAAAGTCCAGTGCAAAGTTAAATGGGCTTCAAAGGGGTTTCAGTTTTTCCTTGTCTGGTCATCTTCTGTTCTTTACGATATGTAGCCCAGTAGATCTTGCCTCTTGGCCCTGTCCCTGTCAGTTAAGAAAGAAGAGGGATTTTACTGCCTCCTTCCTTTGGCCTCCGCTCCTGCGCCACCTCCTTGCGTTCCGGCTGCTCCTGAGGCCCGGCTGGGCCGGAGGCTGCTGCTCCTGCTCCCAGCGGTGCCATGGCCTGCGCTGCCTGCGCGCACAGGGGCTCTGAGGACAGTGATCCCGGCGGCGCCGCTCCACGCAGTGCAGGAGGCACAGCGCGGGTCCTGCTTACGCCTGTGTCCCTGGGCTTGTGCACCCCTCGTGTCCCCAGCGCCGTGGGGGCCACTGCGCTCACTCTTTCCCTTAGCAAGGGAGATGCAGAGCTTCAGCTTTGACACTTTCCAAATAGTGGTCAGTGAATTAGGTGTGAAGCAGCTTGGGCCCAGGGCCTGGAGACGCCGACATGAATCACTGTGTGTGTGGGGCCGGCAGGAGTTGTGCGCTCCCTGCGAGGGCCAGGGCGGCAGGATGCGGCAGGGCGCTCCCCGGCCCTGGGGCTTTCCTCCAACTTGGCCCCTGCTTTTGCTGTTCACAAGGGGCAGCTCCACGGAGGGAAGAGCAGAGGAGCTGAGTTCTGCTCCTGGTGGGCAGAGCTAGAGCCAGGCTTGCAAAGCCGTACACGTGTTACGTTTGCTGCTATTTTTAGGAGCATCTGCTACGTTTGTGTCTGGGCACTTTCCTGCGTGCTAGGAAGAACTGAAAAAGGGTCTGTAGACGTAAGCTGATTGCCCATGATGCGTGTGCAAGGGCGAGCACGTTGCCCCGTGCGGGTGTGTGGGGACCGAGCTGCGCCGGCCTCTGTGCCCCCTGGCAGCCCCCGCGGCAGGCGCCCCGGCCCCGCGTTTCCCTGCTGACGAGGGTCGCCTCCCGCAGCCCCTGACCAGCAGCAGCGTGTTGGTCCTGCTGCTTGGGAAGTTCTTGTGTAGAAAAGGGCTGCCCGTGCGCAGAGTTCGGGAGCTCCACATTGCGAGTGGTTCTAGTTGGGGAGCTCTGGATGTTTCCCTGGGGATACTTGGAGTAGTTCTGCATTTTAGAGTTAAGAAGCCCCTTCTGTGGGTTGCAGTCCCTGCACGGTGGGGCGGCTGGGCCTCGCAGAGCTGCGCAGGGCCGGGCAGGCGGCTCCCCGTGTGCCGCTCTTACCTTCATCGAGTCGCAGGTACGAGTATCGTCCCCTCCTGCCTGAGGGTTCTTCAGTGCTAGCTGCCAGTGGTGGCTTTCCCTTCAAACAGCAGGTCTTGTTGTCTAGTGATTCGGTCATCTCAGTGTAACTGGAGCTGTTGAGAATATGCTCCATTTTTCCTCAACTTCTGCCTTTTGCAGACGATGAGCTGGCGGCGAACGTGGTGCAGTACGAGTGCGTGTGCGAAGGCATGTCCTGCGGCAATGGGGACCGCTGCCGTGGCCAGCAGTGTTTTGCCTCCCTCAGCATTAACGATGGGGCCAAGGTCTACCAGAAGGGCTGCTTCCAGGTCTACGAGCAAGGGAAAATGACCTGCAAGACACCCCCCTCTCCCGACCAGGCTGTCGAGTGCTGCCAGGGCTACCTGTGCAACATGAACATCACCGCCCAGCTGCCGTCCTCGAAAGGTGAGAGGACAGTTTATGGATGGTGGATCTGGCTCGCGGTGTGGTGGGAGCGAGGCGGCACCACGCCAGCAGCACGGGATGTCGGCAGGACCCTTCCCGGTGCCCAGCATCCCCAGCCGTGCCCAGGCCTCCATGGCGAGTCGCTTCAGTAGCACATGTGTTAGCAACTCTGCCTGTTGGAGTTAGGATCTCTGACAGAGTAGGGGGCTACCAAGCACACTCTTGCTGTCAGCGTTACTGGGTGTTCGTTTTTTTACTTTTTTCTCTCTATTTTCTTTTTCAAGGGCAAACTCTTCAGGGCGAAGCTGTAGGTTACAGCATGGAAACACTAATCATTGTTATACTGGCTCCTGTGGTAGTGCTGATAGTTTTTTCTGCGGTAGCTGTGCTGGTCATCCGGAGAATACAGAAAAACCACATGGAGAGGCTCAACTCCAGAGATGCAGAATACGGCACCATCGAGGGACTGATCGCATCCAACGTGGGCGACAGTACATTGGCCGTAAGTCACCCGAATGCCCCGTGCAGGACCCTGTAACCTCTCTTCCTTTCCTGTGCCATTAGTGCCTCCCCCCAGAAAAGGCACCCAGCACCGGAAATTCTGTTGGTGAGATTCCTGTAGTGGGAAATCCATAATGTAAATGGAGTTCTACCAGAAAAGTAATTTTTCCAGGTCAACTGCTTTGACTTCGAGTATTGCTGTAAGCTGCAGTCAAACTGTTTTTACAGACATTCCTTCTAGGAATAATGTCTGATGTAAGTGGGATTCTTGACCTACTGGAAAAACAGGGTATGCGCAACAGTTAGGAAGCTTAAAATGATATGAAAGGTATAAAAATGCATTGCCTCTCTGGTGTATCAAAGAGTCTGAAATGTAGGAGGGAAAGATGCGAAGGCTGAGGAAGAAGAAAGTACAGACCCTAACAGGTATTTTTAGCTTAAAGACTTCAAAGCTGCCTCTAATGATCCTTGCTGAAGGGCTCTTGGGCGACCAGAGTATTAGTGCGATACTGATGACAGGAGAGAGTAGTAGGAATTTGAAGACATGGAGGCTGTTTATTCCTGTTAAAAATAGATGTTAGTAGTTGAATTTTGATTCACTCAGTCTCTGGAAAGAAAACAACTTGGAAGTTGCTTCTTTTATAAAGGATAAAGGATCTTAATTCTACTGACAGCCTGAGGAGTGTTTGCGATGGCCTTCCTGCTCTTTCTCGGCACTGGGCAGGGAGAGCTTCAGGGACAGCGTAAGGTTATTCACTTCAGACACAAATGCAAGGTGTAGAAATTCCTCCCTTCTCCGCTTTTCAAATAGTCTCTATGCCTTCTTAAACGCAGAGTGGGAAAACACTTTCCCTTTAGTGCTTTTCTGCCTTAACCTTTACTGCCTTAACCTTTAGTGCTTTCGCTAAAGGGTCAAAGACTTTAGAGGAATGAAAATGGTCTGGAATGCAAATGTTTTTAACGTGCTGCCTTGCAACCTTGTACGTTCTCTGGGCTTTCCCTTTGTTTGAGCTCTCAGCTCAGTAAGAGAGGAGCTGAAACGGGCAAAAGTTGGGTGTTCTGGGGAGCTGGGAGTAGTTTCTTGTACTACTGTAAGTGGTGGAAAAATCTTGCGGAAATGTGTTTTGTCACAAGACTGTGTGTCCTGGCAAAGTTTTCATGATGTTTGAGGTGGCCAAGGGGGATTAGTGTTTCCATGTGGTAGGGACAAATCCTTCACTGAGGAAGATCAGGTTAAACCTGAAGAGTCAGGCTCCCAGTCATGCAGATGACCCTGTTCTGGACCTCCGGAACAGCCTGTGTGGGGAGCAGGCAAGTAACCCAGTCCTCTTTATCCAGGAAAACAGGGCCCTCCTGAAGTGGCCTGAGGTAGAGCCACGAAATGCCAGGGGCAGTCCGGGAGGATGGACAGGCATCGGTTCCTCGCTGCTTCTCCAGTACGAGAACAGGGAGAGGCCTCGGGCTGAGCAGCAGGAGTACGGGGAAGCGAGGAAGCCCTCCTGCTGGCAAGGGAATCGGTGGTGGACATGTGCAGAGCCCCGCGGCGGGACCTTCCCGTCCTTGCAGTTGCCTCTGGCCACACTCCGAGATGAGAGACTGTCCTAGAGGGTCCTTGGGAAGGCAGCTTTGGTGTTTTGTCCTGCAGTCCAAAATGGTACCAGCAGTCTGGGGAGATCCTTGGGACGCTCTGGGACGGGAGGCAGAGGAAGAACAAAGAGTGAAGAAGTGAGACGTTTAGTTGGTAGCTCCTTCGTTAGGGCGGAGCAGCGACCGTGGCTCTGTCCTAGAGACTGAAACGTCCAGACAGTCTGTGTAGGTGTAGAACTGAGCGTGGTGCCAGCGGCAGTGGCTGCCCAGCCACCCTGCTGCTGCTTGGCCCTGTAAAGCTCTCCCAGGTAGTCATTCTTTTAATGCCTTTCTATGCCTTTGGCTCTCCTAAGTCAGCCTGCAGGGCTGGATTCCCTCTAACTGTTTTAAAACAGCCATTTCTAGTATGTTCATCGTGAACTAAGCATGGCTGTAAGTAGGTATCTGCTCTGAAGCAGTGACTTTGAGCTCTTATCTCTTCCCAGGATAAGTATCCATTAGACCATTTCCTTTGCAAGCCCTTGAAGTGCTTCAAGTCATCCTGCGCTCCTCCGAGACGGTGATTAAAGCCTGGAAGAATAAATCAAAAGTTCTTTCCACAAGGAAGTGGCAGAGTTACTGGCTGCAGAGGCCAGGTCCAACAGAGCTGCTCTCTGCTCGGCTATCACAGCTGGGTGACTTTGATTGCAGTGCCTCTGGTGCTGGTAATGGAAAAAATAGAGCTCCTTGCCTGTGAATGTACCCTCTGAACAGCCAGTCTTTATGTTCCAGGCTTTTCTCCTCTTTGTGCTTTGACTTAGGATTTTGTCACACACCAGAGCTGTTTACGCTTGGGATTATCCTCCATGGTATAGGAAGCACTTGCAGCCCTTGGTTTCCTAGTGGTGAATGGAAAGAGCTGTTTGGCCTCTTCAAATCTTGTTTTTACAGCCATTGTTGCAGACAAGCTTTAGCTCCTGTCTGGTACAAGCAGGAAGGAAAATGAGTTCACATTTTGGGTAAAATAGCAGTATCATGTCTCTCTCTTTTTTTTTTTTTTCTCAAGCACTTACCAAGAAGACAGATTTCTCACTTTTTATCTGACTGAAACCCAGAAGACCAGTTTGCTTGGAGATATTAGGAAGTTGATTATGGTTATGCTTTTCTATCCTGCTTTCTTTTGTGAAGGAGAAAAACGTTCAATAACAAGGTTTCTACAGAAGTTCTTACTACTGAAGCCCTCCCCTTGTCTGTTGCTCACTGGATTTCTTGGAGGGAAGTTTCATCAAACATCGTTCAGCCACTCTGAATGGCATTGGTCGTGAGTTACCTGAGCCATGTTTTGCAGAGAAGTTCTGTTTCGGGCACACGCTCAAGCTGTGTTGTGGGAGCGTGGGCGCAGAACTGCTGCGTGCCGCAGTTCTCGGCGCTCCCCGTCGTGGGCCAGTTTAGAAGCTCCTGATTTCAAACGTGTCTGTGTTCTGAGGGCGGGCGGGCGCCTCTTGACCCGTGGCGTCCTTGCCCGGCCGGCGTTGCCAACACCAGTGGGAGCGTGGCCATGGCCTTGTTTGAGGACTGCCCTCCTGCCTCCTGCAAGGGGCTGTGTGAGGGGCGTGGGGACAGCCCAGCCGAGTGTCCCGTGGAAGGCGCCGGGTGTCTGGAGCGGGCGCTCGTTGCTGAGCTGCCTTTGGCAGACAGGCTGCGTGACAGGGAGAGCTGCACTGCTGGGTTTGCCTGCGCTTGTTGCTGCTGAGTTGCCTGCCTGCCTTTAACGATGGTTGCTAATATGGTTGGGGGAACCTGAGCGCTGGCGCAGAGGCGGCTGTGCCTGTGAGGTGCCTGCGCTAGCCGAGGGGCTGGCGGCCGCGAACCGCAGACCCGCGGGGCCCGTGGTGGCTGCGCCACTGCGACAGAGCCCGTGGTGGTGGCCGCAGAGGCCCCGGTTGAGCCCCGTGCGGCCTGCACTCGCACGGCGCAGAGGCAGGGCCATGCAGCGCCGGCGCCGCGCTCGGCTGCTGCCATCTGCCGGCGCCGCTGCCACGGTCCCGCTTCCCTGGGGACGGCGGCCGGGCTGTCTGGCATCCCAGCCCGGCGCCTCGGTGGAAAAGGGAGCTGTGTGCGGAAAAGGGAGCTGCCCAGGGATGCCTCCGCCGGCGCACGGTGCTCGAGGGCCTGGTCTGCGCACGCGGGAGCTGGCACCGCCGCGGCCCGACCAGCGCCGTCGCTTTCCCGTCTCCACCACGGGCTCTGCGGAGCCTTGCCGAGATGCAGCTCGGCATTGCGGGTGTCTCGCGTGCACGTTGATCCTGGGGTCAGTCAAGCCCCCGTGGGAGTGCTGAGGACTGCGGATTACGGTGCTGGGAATGACCTCGGCTCTCCTTAGCAAAACCTCCTCTTGTTCCTCGCTCCTCTGGCTGCCTTCAGTGAGAAGCAACCATGGGTAAATAGAGGGAATAATAGGAAAACCTGTATAAATACTCAGAAATAAATGTTCCTTTCTTTTTCTGCTAATCATAGAGGGATGAAAGGCTTAAATATTGGAGCTTTGGGAAGCTAGTCTTGCTGAGGTACCTCAAGTTAGTGCAAGGCATAGAAAATTTTGGAGAAAAAGCTGCTCTTAAGCTGTTTCAAGCAAGTGAGATGCAGAATTACGAGTGTGAACAAAATGAGGGAACGGTGAAATGCTGGGAAGTAGCTGAGGCTGGAGCCCCATTACGGAGGCCGGGAGAAAATCCAAGCATAAACTGGCAGTTGTTTGTGCCTGCTTCTCATATTTACAAAATTTCCAGTAAAAAATGGTATGAAACTTGTATTTCCTCTCCCTTCCCCTTCCCTTATGTATGCTCTTTGATGAGATAAGATGTTGTGGTTAAAAAAAGAGAATTCTCTGTCTCTTCAGTGATGGTCACAGTAGGATCCTAATCCTGATGGCTGTGGATGCGGCTGGTGCTCCTGCAGCACCCGCTGTGTTGGGCTTCAAGTTAAGCCGTCCTGTGAAGATGTGGGAGCTGGTACCTTATCTGTTTACATGGAAGAAATGCCATATTTCTCATACTGTCAACTTCTGATTTTCGTTTTTAACAGGATTTACTGGACCATTCCTGCACATCTGGAAGTGGCTCTGGGCTTCCTTTCCTGGTACAAAGAACAGTGGCTCGCCAGATCACGCTTGTCGAGTGTGTAGGTTAGTAGAAGTCTTGTTTACGTGTCTAATGACAGTTCTTAATAGCAAATGCACAGAGCTTTGCCTTTGATCCTAATTAAAGATGAGTTTTGATCAGTAAGGTCATGGTGGAAAATACAAACTAGGCCTGTCTGGGCACTTTTTAGACTAAGTTTGTTTGTTTGTTTTGTAGAAAATCAAGCTCAATTTGAAGTTTGAAACTGTCAAGCTGTGAAACAAATTTGATTGATTAAGTGGCATTTAATTAAAAAGCTTTAGGATTAGAAATAAATCATTTGGCTTTGAGATACCTGGAATTGAGGCATGAAGTTAAGTAGCTAATGTAGCATTTAAAAAGGGCATGATTCTGTGCTCCCAGAAAGGGAAATGGATCATGCAGGTTTAAGTACTGCCAGCTTGAAGGAGGAGATTAGGAGGGGGTGAAAGTTCTGCTCCCTGGAGACCCTGATGGAGAAGGCAGGCCTTGAGCCTGACCTTCCCCAGGAAGGGTCCAGCTTTTAAGTGGCACTGGGCTCTGGCTGTCTCAGGACTGAATCTTCCTTATTTTTAAATACAAAGTGCTGCCTGGCATCTCCATGATGCTCCATTCTGGCCCTTGTGGTGTCTTCTGCAGCTTGCTTGCTCTTCCTGCTGCTCTGGGACTCTGCAGGCTGTGATTTGCCTTTGCCGCTCTTCCCTACCCTAAACCTTGGTGTGTGTTTGTGTCTGTCTGTCTGTTCCAGCGCCCTGTCTGGATGCAAGGGCCCGTGACGCCCTGTTCAGCCTGTGCCCACACCTGCAGTGCTTTGCTCTTGGTGCTCTCACTCCATGTGCTAACAACTCCGTAGCTGAACTTGGAGATGATGTTTCTTGCTGACAGAGGTTTTGGAAACAAGTAATAGATTTGAAGATAAAAAAGGTTAAACTAGCATAGAGCTAATGGTAATGTGCATTCACACGTTAAAGGTGATAGATATGATTTCCTTTTTTTCTTCAGTAAGAATTTGAAATGCTGATGGATTACCCATTGCTGGAAAACCCTAGTTCTAGCTTTTGGACTTAGACATAATCTGGAAAGAGTAAATATTGTTTATTTCCAGAAAGTAATTGTAGTATTTCTAGAGTCTCTTAAGTTTCAATTTATCTGTGTTTTAAAATATTTCATTATTTTCCCCTTTTGTTACTAAAGAGGAAAGTGGAGAATTGTTTGCCTTAGTTTTTATCCATGCCAAGTGGCAAACAAGGTTCCAAATTACAGCAGGAGGGTGAATACCCCTCCTTTTTGTTCACTGTCTTTTATTGTTGCAGTGCAGAGGGAGCAAGGGCTTTTCAGTGCTAGCCTCAAGAATAAGGAAAATAATTTTGTTTATCATAATGACAATTAATTTTGGTAATTGCTTTGTTTTGTTCAACTACAGTCTCCCTGTTTTGAGAATTCGCTCAGATGTGGGAAGAATAAATTTAGCTTGCTAAAGCCCAGCTGCTGGCCGTGTTCAGCCCTGTGTTTGCTGAATCCCCATCTGTGCAGGGGCTGTGAGGGTCTGGAAGCTGCAGCTGCCTCTGTTAAGAATAAGTGGGCTCAACTCATTTGAAAAGTGGGTGTCTGAATTCTCAAATGGTCCGAGTGTGGAACTGAGAATTGCTACCTGAATAGTGTTGAGTCTGAGCTGAATTTGGAAGTACTTGGGTCAGAGCTCTCGAGAAGCAGAGCCACTGAGCTGAGATGCCGCGCTGCCATTAAAGGGGTAGTTAAAGCATGGCATAACCGTGATACAACCCTGTCGGGGATAGAGCTGATTCCTGCGGCTTGCAGCCAGGGCAGGCACCACGTTCCCACAAGTCAGTGAAAGGTTTAGGCGTTCCCGGTGCCGCCTGGAGTCCCGTCGGGATGGGAGGGCTCGGGTGAGCAGGACCCGCGCAGCTCCTGTTGGGAGCAGCCCTCCCATGGGACGCGCTGCCTTTCGGAGGTTTCGGGCCCGCCACGTGGATGCCCTGCCCTGCTGGGTGTCCCGTTGGACGTGTCCGTGCTGGGTGTCCCTTCCTGTGGCCGCCCTCGGGGCTGCAGTGGCCAAAGGCAGGATTAGTTCTTGCAGACAGCGAATGCCTTGCGTGAAAACCGGGGCTATTGTATTTGGACTACCATGGAAGTAGTAATCTACGATTTTTCCAGAGTGCTCTGTCGAGGATATTGCTTTCATGTCAGGCAATTTCATGTGTTGTTCTAAGCTATTTTGGATAAAAGCTTGGCATGCAAAACCATGTCCTGGTCCCCATCTAGGGGACCATCAGGGTGTGTGCTGTTTTAGTTGGCATTGCACACACCTGGCAGTGTGCATTGCATGTGAGGGCTGGTGGTGCAGAGGGATGGGAGGGCTGCTACTCTGCGGGAGCTCCGCGTTCTCCGTCCGCAGGAGGGTGGGAAGGGCCGGTGCCCGGCACGGTGGGAGCTCCACGTCCTCCCTCCACACCCGAAGCGTGCGGGAAGCCTGAGGGGCCGTCGAGCTCAGCGTGCGAGTTGGTGCCCAGAGGTGCCTGCGTGGGGCTCAGCTTGGGCGCGTTAGGGTTAGAGAGGGGGGCGCGTTGGGAGGAGCTCCAGCTCACCCCCGGCTGTGGTCTTTGGTTTTTGCGGGTATCGTGAGTCTGAGGTGGGAATTGTGTGAGGAGCAGTTCTGCTCTTTCTGAACAAAATAAAGCCTTTTTCACTTTGTAATTTATTGAAAAGAATGAATTTTGGACAACGTTAGGGACAGATAGGTGGGACTGCAGAGACGCTGCATGTGTCAGCGCTGCTGAGCGGCGCGGCCGTGCGGCGGCGGTGCCCGAGCACGTCCTGTGCTGGAGCTCCCGCCGGCCGCATGCCCGCTGCTGGGAACAGTCCTGGCTTGGTGGCGCGGCCGGCCATGGTGACACACGTGTTTGCCATCGTGGTAGCTCCGCTGCGGAGCCTGCAGCACAGAGCCACGGGCTGCCTTGGTGCCTTGCTCTAGGCTGGGTTCAGTTCTAGCTCTTGACTGGTTCTCTGCGTGGTAGTTAAGGAGTTTTAACGTCCCTCCCTTCCTGCCTCTCTCCAGGAAAGGGCCGATACGGAGAGGTTTGGAGGGGTCAGTGGCAAGGAGAAAATGTTGCTGTGAAGATCTTTTCTTCTCGGGATGAAAAATCCTGGTTCAGGGAAACTGAATTGTACAACACTGTATTGCTGCGTCATGAAAACATTTTGGGTAAGTAGAAGAACAGTTTTCCTTTTTATTTTTACTGTGAATTCCATGAAAATGAATAAACTAAGCAGCTCGCATGCAAAGTGCTGCAAAGGTACCTTGCACTCTTCCAGGCCTGGTTCCTGTGCTTGTGGCGAAGGTGGAAGGGGTTTGGAGGCGGGAGAGGCTTGCAGGAGCGAGCCGGGCTGTTGGAGCAGGTGCCGGCAGCCACAGGCTCGGTGCCACGGGCCGGCGAGGAGGCGCCCATCGCTGTGCCAGGCCGAGCCAGGGGACCCGGAGCCCCCCGGGGACACGGAGGAGCACACACCTGTGTTTGAAACCTCTCTGCACGAAGCCTGCGGTTCCCCTGGCTTGTTCTGCCTAAATCAATGCCTCTGCTCAAAGTTTAGGTCAAGCTAGGAAATACAAGGAATTCCTAGTTTCCTAGGAAAATGGGGTGTTTAAACTTCCACTGTAGTTGCCCTTTATGGCCTACCTTGCTCTCCTCCCCAGATTTGAAAGTACATGATTTTGAACCTCCTGGAGCCCTGCTACCTCTGGGGTCAGTTGTGAGAGCTTGGAAAGGGACTCCTCTGTGGTGTGGGCTGTGTTGGGAGTTTCAGTAACCCCCAGATTCCTGGTGAACATGCTGTGTTTTCACTGGTGTGTCACACTTGCAAGTGACAGCAGCGGCCTGTTTGGTGGCGCTACCTTGCCCGAAACCTGTCAGTTTTACCTAGGCCGCTGCTTCGTTTCCTGTTGAGAACTTCTTTCCTGGCTCTGTACGTTCCCTGCTGAGTGCCTGCGCTCTCCTGAGGGCTTCCTGGGCAATTACCTTGTTGCTGTAAAAACAGTTTGGGGGCCTTCTGAGCGTGAATTATTGAACGTCCCTTCCCAAGATAGCAAGTAACTTTGCAGAAATTCTATTACACGTTCCCATGTCTGTGTGTGTGTTTAGTTTGTCTTGATAACTGTCAAGTTTGTGGGCTATTTTATGGGATTTTTTAGATGCATTATTGAACAATATCACATATTACAGAGGAGTCATTGCAAAGAAATCTGACTACTGGGATTGAAGGTCTGTGTTCTTGCTGACAAATGTCGTATGAGGGCTTTTAATAAACCTGATTTGTCCCCTGCCTTGGGAGTAAAGGTTCTGCTGCCTCCTGGCCACAGCCGCGGCGCTCGGCCAGGTGCTTGTGCATGCGAGGGCTGGGGCAGCGCCTTCATGTCGGGTTCAGCTTTAGACACCGCCTTTGGCAGCAGTTCTTGAGATTCATCAGCCTAGGAAAGAGATTCCTCCTGGCTCCCTTTTGGAAGATGGTGGTGATGGCTTTACACCAGAGGTGATTTGCACACCAGATAAATACATTTTGTAATAAACATAAGAGTTCCAAAGCGCATCTTGTCTGTTTTCATAAGAGAAGGCAAGTTTGCACAAAATTCAGTTTTAAATTACCAGAGGGGCCTAGTGGTATTGATTCATGTCCTGGGGGAGATGTGGATGAGCTCTGCCGTCTCATTTTGTGTTTCTCCTTTTCTTCTCTACCTCCCCTAGGTTTCATTGCGTCTGACATGACTTCCAGGAACTCGAGCACTCAGCTGTGGTTGATCACCCACTACCATGAGATGGGGTCTCTCTACGACTACCTGCAGCTCACGACCCTGGACACCATCAGCTGCCTGCGGATAGTCCTCTCCATAGCTAGTGGTCTTGCACATTTGCACATAGAGATATTTGGAACCCAGGGCAAGCCGGCCATTTCCCACCGGGACTTGAAGAGCAAAAACATCCTGGTCAAGAAGAACGGGCAGTGCTGCATAGCAGACCTGGGTGAGTTCAGCCGGCTGCTTTAGTGTCCAGGGCCGCCCCGCAGGAGTCGGTGCCGTGAGAACTGCAGCCGATAAAAACCTGGAAGCAGTGTCGGGATCGTTGCGGTTCCGCAGGCGGTGCGGGGGCCACTAGAGGGCACTGAGCCCCTAGAGATGCTCCCGGAACGGGGCCCAGGGCACGGAGCAGCCCGGCGCTCCGCATGCTGCTCCGCTCTCTTGCGCGGCTTCCAGCACCTCCACCCGCACAGTGCGAGATACACACGTGATATAAAGCTGGGGCTGCATATACTGGGGTTGATGGACACCACGCTCATAAAATACACTGCGTTTATCTGGGTGTGCAGAAGTATAAGGGGTTGTATACCCTAATAGATAGAAACAAAGGTTACCTGCCTAATTTTCATGATGGTAAAAATAGTTGGTTTTCGTATGCTGGGACTCAGATGTGTTTGACACTTTCCTTGTGCGCTCCATGTCTGTAAAGAAACACCCTGGAAGCGGAGGTGCATCCAGGGTGCATCCGGGGTGCATCCGGGGTGCATCGTGCCCCTCGCGCCAGCCCTGCCCTGCCCTCCTGGCGCCGGCAGCACAGGGGAGCGCTGGGTTCCCCGTGTCCCTGCTTCCCAGCCCGCACACTGGGGAGCCCCGTTACAGCCCCGCCGCAGCGATGCCGCCCTTTGCAGCGTGCAGGATGCTGCCTTGCAGCCCTCGGCGTGAAGCCTTTGATCTGCCAATCCACTCCAGCTGTTTTGCCCAGTTTGGGTCAAGTATTATCAGTTTTATCAAAAGGTTCTTCAAAGTCCTTGCATTTAGAGTTTGCTAGGGCACTTGTTGCTAACCCCAGTGCCCTGGTGCAAGGTGTGGTACACACTAAGGATAAATATTTTTGCTGTAGAGAAGGCTTTCAATTACCTTCTCAGCAGTGATGGGATTGGCTTGATGGTGTCTTTCCAGAGTTGCTATGATTGTTGTTTTAGCAGCTTGAAATTACTTGAAGTGCACTTAAATTGCAGGGAAAAGTGTTTTCCAAATTTTTGCTGCTGCAACTCATAGACTTAAAAAAAAAATAAAGAAAAGAGAAAGAAAACATCAGTGATGATTTAGAGATAAGTTAATATTTTGGACTGAAGTAAAAGCTTTTTAAAGTTCCATCTGAAATAAGCTCACGTTAAATGCAAGTAGTATATGTTATTCTGGTAAGACTTGGTGGGGAAGTGGGCGAGAGTCTGTCTCCCTGCTATTGCTTAGTTATGTCATGCACCCATTGCTGTTCAATTTGCAGTACTGGCTGTTTACCATGGTGAAATGAGTACTTTGTGCATTTCCAAATTTACAATAATTTAGGCCCTCACATAATGTTCTTTGCTTAAATGTTTGGTAATTAGTAGAAACAAGGTAGAGTGGTTTTGACTGACTCATTTCAGATCACTTTGAGGATGTTTATTTTTCAAGCAACTGCAAATAGAGGTTTTATTTTCCAGCTTTATTTTTTAACTTGCGTGTATCCCTCATGCAGTGTTTTTCTTCTCTTTTCCCCACAGTTCGGATATATCCGCCTACCCAAAAGTTCTATAAATAAATTTGAGTGCCGGGTAAAATTGTTTTCTTCTAAGCAGCAGCTGCTCAGCCTTCTGCACATACGTGCCTAGAGCGCTGCTGACATCCAGCAGCTGCAAAACACTTAGTTGCTGTAATGACAGCGCTTTGCAGCCGTGCAGTAACGTGCTCAGTGGCAATCCCTTGGGAGGTAACGGCTGCAAGGCTGTGGCTGGTGGTGGTGGCTGCTCTGTGGACGGCCGGGCTCCGGCCCTGGGTGCTGACTGTGCTGCTGTGTGTCCCGCAGGCCTTGCCGTCATGCACTCCCAGAGCACCAACCAGCTGGACGTGGGCAACAACCCGCGCGTGGGCACCAAGCGCTACATGGCTCCCGAGGTGCTGGACGAGAGCATCCAGGCGGACTGCTTCGACTCCTACAAGCGAGTTGACATCTGGGCCTTCGGGCTGGTCCTCTGGGAGGTGGCGAGGCGCATGGTTAGCAATGGTGAGTACCTGGCGCTCCTCTCTGCTCCTCGGAGCAGCTGAGTGAGTGGAAACGCTGCAGAGCGGCTCCCGCGCGGACGCGTCTGCTCTGTGGTGAGGTACCGGACACCTGAAACGCTCCCGTTCCTGACACCAGCACCTTGGGCACTAGCTGGAATCTCGGATACAGGGTCAAGGATTGCCACTTAGTCATGGTGGAGGAGAGGGTCCTTTGCTGAATCCCAGAAAACAACAAATAATTAGATCACAGTAAATGACTAGTTTAAACTTTTGCCCGTAAAGTCTCTGGAGTTCCCTGTATGCAATTAAACTACAGCGAGTGTGATTTTTAGACATCTGTTTCACATGGCAAAACCTAAGGAACAAAGATGGAGAGTATGAATAAAGTAAACACTGAAGTGACCAGAAATCAGGGATCTTCTTCGGTTAAACACAAAGCAGGATGTGATCAAACATTTCCAATTCTACTAGGAAAGTGCTAGTAAAACTGCTGCTCTTGCCCTGAGCAATGCTGGATTGTGTTTCATCAGCAAGAGGGTCTGAATTCAGGAGTCCTTGGCTGGTTGTAGGTGTGTTTGCTTGTCCTTGCCAGTCCAGGAATCCTCTGGTTCCCTCCTCTGGGCCCGAAGGACAGGCAGGACTCTGAAGATAGAGCGTGGGAGCAGAGGGGACCTTGCGTGGCCCTCCTGTGGGTGCTCGGGCTGAGCTCGCGGGATCCCTCTCCTCGGGAAGCGGTTGCTTTAGGAGGTGTGTGCAGGGAGGGCTGCACATTCAGTCTGAAAACGCAGCTTTCCTGTGCGTGTTGCCTGTCAGCGGCCAAAAGAACGTGCAAGGAACAAAGCGTTGTTCCCGTGCCCGGGGTGGCTGCCTGCCACCCGCCCCGCAGTGTGGGGGACACTGGTGCCGCGCAGGGGCCGCCCCGAGGCCAGCGCCGCCCCGGCTTTGCTGGCGGGTCTCCCGAACCCCCGTGCAGGCCGTGTGCCCGCTGCTTAGGCACCACCTGGCCCCGCAGCGGCCAACGGCAGCGGCCGGCCGGGCCCCGGCGCGTGGCAGATGCTGCGTCCTGCAGACGCAGGAACAAGGGGCATGGCGGGAGGTGAGGCCCTCTCTCCCTCAGCGTGGCCTTTGGGGATGCTGTGCGTAGCTGGGGTGTAGCGCCAGCCACGGGGGTTCGTGTGGGCACCGCGCAGGGTGTTTCCTGCTTGAGCGCGGCGGTCAGCCTGCGTGCTGGTGACACCTTACTTGAAATGCTGGTGTGTGCTTTTGTGTATTGCTGGGCCTGGATTTGAGTAACGTGTCTGACATCTGCTTTGTCTTTCCGAGCTAATCCTTCTTTGGATAGGAGATCTTTTCTTTTTCTTTTTTTCTTTTCTTCTTTTCCCTCTCTCCTCTCTTCTCCATCGTTTAAAATAAACAAGCAAAAGTCTCATGCATTTACCTCTCACAATGAGTATCCTATGGAAGGATGCCTGTTGTTTAAGTCTCCCATGCTGATGTTTTGGTGTCTGCACTATTGCTGCTGCTTGCTGAGCTGCTCCTGACCCGCACCGGGGTGGCCGGGCCGTGGGGCCGCGACGCTGCGAAACCCCCAGTGTGGGACGACCGAGCTGCTGCCTTGACAGTGCTGGTTCCAGCTATTGCCCGGGTTTGCAGCCGTCACTGTGAGTGATTCCACCCTCCTGCTCGGGGCGAGCACTGTCCCGGCCCTGGCGATGCTCGAGCGGGAGGTGGCTGCTCGGCCGCCCCGTTGATCCGTGCAGCTCCGGCTGCCCGAGCCTGCCGAGGAGTCGCGATGCTGGCAGGGCAGGCGGTAGCTTTCCCCGGTGCGCTCGGACCCTGCCCTGTGCTGCTGGGTGCTTGTGCACCGCCTACGGAGTGGCAGTGCAGAGCCCGTCGCGTTGGTTGGAGGCCCTCAGCTCTGGGAAGCACCGAGCTTCTCCTCTGGTTGGGTTTTCTTTCCACCTCTCCTTTCTCCTATGACACCTTCTATCTATGAAGCAGGGATTTCTGGTGCTCTGCTGTTCTCGTGGCTGGGCATGAGGAGGAAGGTCCTTCGCTCCGCTCACTCATGTGTGCGTAACGCAGGGCAGCCTTAAAGTATCAGGGAATAAAGGCGGGATAGAATGCTGTTGTAAGGGTCGGGAGCTGGCTACCCAGAAAGCAAATACATGTGTGCTGGATGGCAGAAGTCACCTTAACGTGGCCTGGAAGCAGCAGACCGGGCCGTGCCATGGGCCCGTTCTGCCCTGTCCGGAGCGGCGGCGTGCGAGGGGTGAGGGCGGCTGCTGCACGCGGGAGAGGCTGGAGCCGCGCGCGCTGAGCGAAGGTCGCTCCGAGTTCCTTCCGTGCTTCGTGTCAGCGTGATGTGGCCTCGCTGAAACAGCCAGCTGCGTAACCTGCACGTTGGAAAATCACAGGAGAAGAGTAAAATACAGCCCACCTTTGTCTTTAGTGAGAAAGTTCACCTGCTCATGTATCACAATGGCATTGGGAAGTCTGTGAATGAATGTCTGTGAAGTTTTGCTTTTGAGCAATGTAAAGTTACTTCTTTATCCATACTTCAGTTTGAGATAATGCATGTGCACAAAGCTTATTTGTATTCCAGTTTTCTCGCAGATAAGTTTGTGTTCTGGGAGGAGGCAGAAAGAGTATGAAATGGGAGCTCAGCCCTAGGTACCTGCCGGCCGCTCCGCTCCGTGTCCCTCCTGCGCCGCTGGCGCGTGGCCCTGCTCCCCAGCTGTGCAGTGTGCGGCATGGGACTTAGCGGGAGGGTTTCTGTGGGAAAAAGAGGTTGGATCTCACGCTACCACAGCTGTACTCCTTTAGTTCAAACTAAAGCTGTTATTTGTTTATTTATTTTTAACTGTTATTTAGTTCAGACATCTGTAAAGTAGATGTAGTTATTGCTTTGTACCAATTAATTAACATTTTGGATAAGAAAGGCTGTGTATATGGTAGAAAGCACTATTCTGTGTTTCTGTGGCCACTTGCCCCTGGCATGCCCACCGGTGGACGTTCCCCTGCCGCTCCGTGGTGTGGATGACGCGCTGCTCCGTCGGGCAGAAACGCTGCTGTGCTTGGCTTCAGTCACTAGGTAACGTCTCTCTCGTTTGCATCTCGCTAGGTATCGTAGAAGACTATAAACCACCGTTTTATGATCTGGTTCCAAATGACCCCAGTTTTGAAGACATGAGAAAAGTGGTGTGTGTAGATCAGCAGAGGCCGAACATTCCCAACAGGTGGTTCTCAGACCCGGTAAGTGGAGGCGCTTCCCAGGATGGCGTGGGATGCAGGGCTGCTGCGCTGCAGAGGGAAGGAGGCGCCATGGGCAGCTTGGGGCTTAATCTCAGCCATTCAGAGGGACCTCTTAGTAGCGTCAATTCATAGTAGTTATTTTGAAGCTGATCTCTCTATTTGATTGTTCTCCAAGGGGATGCTTATTTAGGGGAAGGTAACCTGTGTAGGTCTCTACATTATAAGCAGGCAGGTCTACAACATCATCTTAATCTCTTTTCAGCCTGCATTAAAAGGGCTGGGTTTTTTTGTTTGCTTGTTTGTTTGTTTTTTAGTTTTGGATTTGTTTTTTTTTAAGGCTGGTTCTAAAGCGTAAATTTATTTTTCTGCATTGGAATCAGCCTATACTGCCTACCTTTGAAGAGCTCTTCTGTGTCTTGTTGCTGGAACTGTGGAGGTCTGTTGTGAGGGGCCGGGACTGGGTGACCCAAGTACAAGGGCTGGTTTGGGAGCTGTCCCTGTGCCGCGGGCTGGGCATCCCAGCTGTGTGAACCTGCCCTCCACGTGCTGAAATCACAGAAAAATCCTCCACGTTGTTTGGCTTCCTGCATTCATCTTAGAGGGGTCAATTGCATTGAAAAGGATTCTGTAGAGCATTAATTCCTTAATTTAAAGTTTTGAATATTTTAAAATGAGGCTGGTTGGACATGGCAGCCAGCACATTGTCTAGCTATTTACACTCTTTAATTGCAGTCTTTTTTTCAGCACTTCAAATTTACATATTTGGAAACAAAAAGGACCCAAATAAGCAGCAGCAAAACATGTTGTAGACTCTGCAAATATGAGTATTAATGATGCAATAAAAATGTAACTGTGCTGTTGCTTAGCACAGTCTAGTTCTTTTTGACTTATGATTTACGTGCTGGTAATCTGTGTTTTTATTCTTTTCCCAGACACTAACATCACTTGCCAAGTTGATGAAAGAATGCTGGTATCCAAATCCATCAGCGAGACTAACAGCCCTGCGAATCAAAAAGACTTTGACCAAAATTGATAATTCCTTAGATAAACTGAAAGCTGACTGTTGACCTTCTTCTCATGGTGCTCTCCTGATAGGAAGGCATTTGCCTGGACAGAAGCAGTCTGGCCAGGCAGGTCATGTACTTGGTCCCCCCGTGGCTTCTTACAGACACAGAAGTTCTTACCGGGCCGCCTGTTTGGGAGACATTGGAACCCTCTGGACTTTGCTCAGTGACTACAACGGGCATTTCACAAACGGTCAAGCTCTGGAGCCTCGCGGTGGAGGCGCTGTTGCAAAGGTAGCGAGTGGCCTGAAGGAAGACAGAGAAATCCTAAGACAAGATCAGGGCATTAAACAATGGCTTTGAATAGCTTTTTTGCTTTTTTTTTTTTTTTTTTTTTTTACTTTTTTTTTTTTTTTTTTTTTTTTTTTTTTTTTTTTAAATGTGCTCTTCACTCCCAGGATGAACACGTGGAAGTGGTAAATTTTAATCAGCAATATTGCCTGTGCTTCTCTTCTTTATTGCACTAGGAATTCTTTGCATTCCTTACTTGCACTGTCACTGTTAATTTTAAAGACATGACTTGCCAAAAATATGATTGGCTGTATACTACATTGATCTATGCTTGAATAATAGGAAATGAATTTGGTAAACTGAAAATGTAACTGTCAGATTTTAGCTGCATTTTACATGTGTACTGATGTTTACAATAATGCTGAACACTAGGAATTTCTCGTTTATACAAAACTTGCAAATTATTTATTACTAGTGCACTTGCCAGTTTTTTAAACTGTAAAATAAGTGCATAAAGTTAAAGCTTATTTTTATGTGGCCTCTTTCATGATTTCTTACACAGATGTTTTTGTAACACAGTATAACCTGAAACATAAATTGTTTTCTGTATTATCATATTACAACTCAATAGTCACATTTTAAGTGCTTCACATTTGTAGGTGTGTGGTCTGTAACATGTTTTCAGTTCAAATACGGAACATATATATAGCCATTACCCACATGACGTTGTGTCTAGTATCTTACTGATCTAGAAGAGGAAAGCATTGGAGGACTCGAGTAGAATTTTAGGTCATGAATGCTGTGGGAAAAATGCATTTTATTTCTTCTAAGCTATATAATATGCATTTAAACTCTGCCAGAAAAATAACTATTTTGTTTTAATCTACTTTTTCTATTTAGTAGTTATTTGTATAAATTAAATAGAACGTTTTCAAGTCAAACCGAGGCGTGTTTCCGTTGCCTTCCTGCGCGCCGGCCGCAGCGGCTCCGGAGCGCCCGGCTCCCCGCGGCCTCCGGCAGCTCCCGGCCAGGGCGGCGTGGCGCTGGGCGCCAGGGTGGCGGCCGACCCTCCGTGGGGAGGAAGCCAATGTGTCCGTTCAGCCTTGGGAACGAGCTCCTTAACTCCTGCACGTGTCCCCTCGAGGTAAAGCAGGGCAGCAGTTCGCAGGCTGTGTTGCACCTGCAGGGGCAGCTGCCTGCGGTTCCCTCCGCTTTGGGCTTTTCCCAGCCTGCCGGAGGCCGCACTGCTCATGCTGTTTTTCCCCCTTAGCCCCGTCCTGCTGCTGCGGGTGCCTCGGCCTTGGGTGGCCACAATCCCAGTGCAGGAACGAGGCCAGACCCGCGGCAGCACGGCCGCGGCCCTGCGGTGCGGCCCGGGGCGGCACCGGTGCCAGGGCTCTTGGCTGTACGCAGCAGGGGTCGGAGTAATCCCTCCCATGCTGCAAAAGCCCGGGGAGCGAGGGAGCAGTCCTGTTTTAACAGGAGCCCGAGGAGTCTCCCTGAGCACGTTCTGTCACTGGAGCTGGACCTGGTTGATGCCCTGCTACCAAAATATTTCTTGATCCGCCTTTTACTAGGTAAATCAAATTTTTCCCCCACTTTTATTTTTATTTAAATGGGTACTTGCTTGTTAAACCAAGCAATAATCTCAGTGGAAAAAAAAATGTGCACTATTTTCACTATTTTCACTGTTAGCAGTAATTCATTCAGCACTGTCTTTTGCTAATGTGCAGTTGCTGCTGAACATAGTCAGCATATGTGTGCTCAGAAATAGCTGAAATAGCAAAGTATTATTTAACTAGAGGGCAACGCACCAAGATCATAGAAGCAAAAAGTCAGTGGTAGCCTGTGACGATTACCTGTGGTCTGTGTTATTTAACCTCATTCAAGAGCCTGTCAAAACAATCATAGGAAAACCTGTTTCTTTCCCCCTGAAGTTTCCAGGCACTGGAAACAGGGGAAGCCACTGCAGAATTCCTGTCATGTGTGTGAAGACGAAAGACCAAACCCTTCTGTTTTTCCTGCATGTTCATTAGAGATGTCCCTTTAAGTGCTCCCATAAAATCTAAGCTTCTAAAGAGATTTGGACTGCTTATATATAATCCGTTGCGGGGAGATAATAACTGTATTTATTACTATGGAGATGGCCCAAGCAGCCCCGTAGCTGAAAGCCGGTCATGCCAGTAGTGAACCTGGGTCCATCGCTTCCTAATGCAGCCCTGGGGTTCCGCGCGGCGCCGCTGATGGTTCCCAGCTCTGTGACAGCATCCTGCAAGGGAACAGCACGGAAAATACCCGTTGGGGAGGGGGCTCCGTTCAGCATCACTGATGGTTCCCAGCACAGCTCTGTGAGAGCATCCTGCAAGGGAACAGCACGGAAAATACCCATTGGGGAGGGCAGCACTGACCTCACGCTGCTCTGCTGAGAGCTGCAGCCATCTGCAGCTACCAGGTTAACGGGAAGACGTGGCAAAAAACAAAGGTGTTTGGGGTTGGACTGGGGGGTGTGTTTGGGGTTTTTCGTGTATAACTTACATTCGTTTTTAGTTGAAATTATGTTGAGGAAGTTGTCGCTGGGAGAGCTGCCTGAAGCAGCCTGAGCTTGGAGAACCCTTCAGTGCTGAGGGCCATTTGACCACAGTCTGTAGTCTTGATGTTCCCTGCTCGGTATTGCCTTCCTTTATGGTCCTCCCGTGCTAAAAGCTTTGATGGAAAAATCTGCACTCAAACTTACAAAATAGTTAATTAATTGTTTAATTAAGCTGTTTTGATACAGAGGGACAAGGAGGTGCTCCCTTTCCTGAGGGAAGAAATGCTTGCGAAGCCAAAATGTCAGCACTCACTGAGGACTGTCTGGGAAGAGTTAAATTCTCCCTGTGCACAGAGTATTCTTTTACATTTTAAGATTCTGATTTGTGTTGGGGAAAAAGGAAGTACTGCATCAGTGTGAGGTTGCTACTTTGCTAAAAGCCGATCTTACCTGGGAATAACAAATGTGCTTTATCCCCAGCTGGGGAAGCAAAAGGCATTTCTAGAGCCTGAACTAAGATGCTGAGCCAAGAACGGAGCCGCAGAGAGCCAGGAAAGGCTGGACTGGGAGGAGGCGGCAGGAGGGAGCTCGGCGCTTCGTGGGGCAGAGGCTGCGATGGAGGAGGGAGCCGGGCACGAGGGGCATCTTGCGCACAGCTGGAATGCACTGGTGGTTATGTCGTTACAGATGGACATCCAAACCTTAAGATGCTGGTACGGATCCTAGGAACTTCCCGCAGGGCTGGTTAGGCCGAAGTGTGGCTGTGTGTAACAGGAAAAGCTGCTGCTGCCTTTGGCTTCGACAGCCGCTATGTTGCTTCTTCACAGGGGCACCTTGGATGGCTTTGAAGGTTATTCTTGAGTGTCTTTCGCAGCTTATAGAAGGAGCTACATGTGGATCTTGCCAGGTCTGCAAATCAAACCGAACCTTCTGGAATTCCACAAGTGCAGTGGTCTCGTGGCAAAGACATGACCTCCTACTGCTGTTCTTCCAAACCCCATTTTCTAGACAGTTTTAGTGCATTTAGTGTGTGCTTTAGTGAAGGAGTTCACACAGCACTGTAGCAGAAACCGCCTGCGTGCACACATGTGTCCATGTGCGCATGCACTCACACGTCCACCTGCATACACGTATGTCTGCGTGCGCGCATGCCCGGGAGAGGCCGGGTCAGGGCATGTGGGTGCAGAAGGGTGGCCCATTTGTGCTCCGAGCTGCTCCCGCCGCGTGCGCCCTGGCAGGGCGGGCTGGGCTGAGCTGGGCTGGGCTGGGCTGGGCTGGGCTGAGCTGCTTCAGCAGAGCGAGCGCCCTACTGGGCCCGGGCGAGCGGGATCTGGTGGCTCTGCCTGGAGCCCTCGAACCCACCGCTGCCCAGCGGTCGCTGCAGGGGACACGTGCGATGGTTCTGGGGACAGCTGGGGGGGTCTGTGACTTTATTTTTTCAATTGCCTTGGCCAATTGAAATTCTACAATTACAGAAGTGTAATGTTTTGCAAAAATCATATCATTTTGGAGATTTTGGGGGAAGAATTCATATAATTTCTGAATGAACAGAGTGGTAAGTAGATACACTCTGTGTTGAAGCAAGACCACTCCGCTTTTAAGACGCTGGCCTGGGATGCAGAGAGCCAAGGTAAGCGGCTACCAACTGACTTGTTGCCCATTCTGGGATGTCTCTGTTTTGTTCTGTTTTGTTTGCATGAAATTTCAATAGGTCTCAGTTTTGTCCAGATGTGGAGCAAAACAAATTGCAAAATAAAATTCTTGTTTTCAAGCCAACCCTAGAAGAACTTCCAGTTGGCAAATGTTTTGGTAGTGTTACCCATTTCCAAAGCCTCTTAAATCCCTAGGATACGCTATTGCTGTCCCACTATGAACCATGCCATGCAGACCTCTGCTGAGGGAGCACGTTTGCCTCACAATAGGCAGAAAGTGGGTTTTGTTGTTGTTTTTCCTCCTTCCCTTGCTCCCCACACCAGCCCTTGGTGTGTCAAAGGCCTGACGAAGACGAGACGAAGGGTGAAGATCCTCGATTGTGGATAAGGGGCAGCGGTGCCAGGAGTGAGCGCTGCCGCGTCCTGCATGGCTTCGATGTGACGCTCCGGGGAGCCCCAGGGCAGTGGTGCCCGCTCTGCTCCGTGTCCCGCTCTGCTCCGTGTCCCGCTCTGCTCCGTGTCCCGCTCTGCTCCGTGTCCCGCCGGGCCGGGCTCCCGCCTCCGCTCCAGGCCTGCGGCGGGCACCGTGGGTGCCACCAGCGTCACCAGGCTCTGCGTGGGGTGCGAGGAGGGCTCTGCTCCTGCCAATCTTTACTTCTACATTAAAGAAACCCCGGCTATAGAGAATTCCACTCTTGAATTACAGAAGTTCAATGAAAAGATGAGGCTGCTCTGTTATCTGCTTGGCTCTGTCTCAAGCCGCTCCCCAGCTGCGGGGTTTGCAATCCAGGAGTGTTTGCGTCTCGGTGACGGTCGCGCTCCTGCTGACGCTCCGCTCCGCAGGGAGCCGCGCGGGTCCCTGAGCAGCGCCGCCGTCGCCCAGCGCAGCGG